GGTCATAAACAAGTACCGTGTCCACTTTTTCTTTTCTACAGCACATACTTCTACAATAATTAAACTTTCTTATAAGCACTCGATACCTGTAACATCCGATTACAGTTGGTCACGTAGAACTATACAATGATCTTTCTCAGAGGATTAAAGTTCTCAAGGTAAACGAGACACCCTGTATGCATCCTGTATAGGCAACGAACGTACAATTTAAAAATTATTGATACAAGGAGGCCATTTTGAACACGTACTGTGAAGGTACAATGTGTTCAAGAAGAAATAACTTGAATATGAAGTAAAATAGGATCCATGTTTATACGAACTTTTGTTATTGTTTTCTTATGTAGAATCCATTCTCTAAAGTGGGCCCCACATGCTACGGGACACCCTGTATTTGAAGAAAGTTACGGAAGCAAGACCCCGAGAGACAAACTCTTGACCAGCTACAAATAATATGCCAATAGAAAGTTACAAAACCTCGATCCCCCGCTAATTTCGCAGCAGACGCGGAGTCAGCTGCGCGTTTCGTAAAAGCCAAGTGAAAACGTCGAATGCTCGGCGCGTTTCCAAAGGTCGGGCTCCGTTTTAGCGAATCGCGGTTCAGCCTTGCGTTCGGTCAGTTTCAAGGTGACAAGCAAAGGAATCGATGCTCTCCTTATCCCTTCTCAGCGTACTCGCTGCAGATTTTCACTCGAATTCCACGAGCAAACGTAAAAGTCGATCGTTCGAGACCACGCCCCGCTATTTTTACAGACGTATCCGACATCGCCATACAAGATTTGCTTGAAAAACGAAGGAAACGAGTTACGAAGAACGGTAACTTCACAAAGTGGAACTTCTGGGGGAAAGAGTTACAATTCTATGGAGTTCGAACAAATTTTATTTAATATAGCATTGGAAAATTAAAACGGGACACTCTGTATAATATTTATAACTTTTTATACGTTTCAACTGTGGAACTTTGTTGAGTTTTATTAATTGAAATATTTTTACAATTCCTGCATTATGCGAGTATAATAAATTCACTCAGATAGTATCAATATTTGTAACTAGATGCAGAGTGTATTTTAATTTATTATAATTTGTTCGTTATGAATGATACAACAAATCGAGATAAATTACTGATCTAATTGGAAAATTGTCTGTCTGGAAATATTCAATTTTAGAGAAACTGAAAATATGTTTTCGTAGTTGGTGACAATTCCAAGTATTGAACTAATTATATAAACGTGACTTAATTGGAACGATTATACTTACATCATTGAAAGTAAAATCTGTTTAAGACACAGACAGTGGTATAATTAGAGATTTGGCGCGTGCTGTCTGGTTTGTTCTGTCTCATTCTACTCCATAAATGTATAACTGGTATCTAATGAACCGTCAAAGTAACCTGTCCGTTTACAGGAAAATTCATCTAATAGATTGCGTTGTATACAAAACACTGTTAGAACAGTGTGGAAGTATAGCAATAGTTATTAGAAAGTTGTGAATACGTTGGTCAATTATTAATTGATTACAAGATAAACTCTTTAATGCATAAACCCTCACTATAACCAGTTTAGAGAATCTAATTAAATTCATTCGCAGATAGTAACTCTGAGTGTAAAATTGAAATCTTTTCGATTGATCGATCAACTTACTCAAAATGTTGTTTAATGTTTACGGGAGTCATTATTCTTTGAGCACAATTTCTCTACGAAAAGGATAGCCACGAGTTAGCTGCAAGGTGATTAAACATATGCAACAGTGCTTGTAACGGTAGTTCAAGTCTGACATTTGAACTTTGAAACTTTTTCACCGACACAAAGCTGAAGGACAAATAATTATTACCTGCAACACGTATATTGATACGAAGCAACGGGAACTTTGTATGTATTCGTTCTTTTTGTTCTAAGTCTCTGACACGCTAAGTCCGAGGAGATATCGCGTTGCTCTACTAAACTTTTGAATCGTTCGTGTTTAACCCTTTCACACCTGGAAATTAGAACCAATTTACTACTGAATTTCACCAGTTGATTTTTCAATCAGTTCTGGACAAATTTTAATTTTTTTCGTTTCGTTTTTATGCAAACAATTTTCTGAAATATATATCATAAAATTAAGGATATCATGAAAATATATGTTACTGTCAAGTCTGAAAGGGTTGAGAATATTGAAATAAATGAAACAAATGCAATTTGAATGAAATTCTACACTTGTTTTAAAAATGTATTTTTGTCCAATTCTTCGACGCTTATCTTTCTTTTTCTTTATGCAGATTAATTCTTTGAATGTGCGCGTGTGTGTAACTGGAGTTGCAAAACTCGTTAAGTTACTAACCCTACATCACCTAAAACAAATTCTTGAGTGGAAATTTCAGACGGCTTGCGGTGGAATATTTTTCACCGACTACTGGACAAGCTGGAAATAGTAAAAACGAGAATAAATTTTGGCGCGAGCGTACGCGGTAAAAGCGAGTATATTCATTAAATTATTTCGTTCAATGTCTATATGTATAATTTCTCTTGCGTGACCCCATTATCTGGATCGCTACTTTTACATAATAATTTCACCTTTGAGCTCGTTTGCAGAACAGTTTCGCACGTTTTTTCGGCTACATACGTTCTCGTGTTATTAATCATTCCTATCATACATCTTCCATAATTAATATTGTTATAAATAAATGATGAGGTATAATTTATATTCTTCCTTAATGTTTCGGTGTAAATTCAGTCGATAAATCTTTATTTCTCGTGCCAAATTTCGACCATAGTTGCTAACCTTCAAGACTATAAAATAAAAATGAAATAACTAGTATGAAATACAATAATATTAGTTAAATAAAACCCGAAATGTCCAAGAAATTTCCCTTTACTTTTGTATTTGTTAATCTCTATTAAATTGCAATTACATATTGTGATAGTAAGTTGGTGTCTATTTTTGAAATCAACAATTATATTAAACTCTCTCGCGCTCGAAAGAGAGGATTTAAAACGGATAGAATCGTGCAAGCAGTAATGAGACAGATATGGCGACCGAACATGTAAGCATCGAGCATACAGTGAAAGGTTTAAGGCAGACAATAAAAATTTGTCAGCGCTAGATCGTTAGTCCAATCGGGAACTTAAGAATGATTTTCAAGTGTCACGAGAAACTGGAACAACCTGCCAGGCAACGCGTGCTATATATTAGTTACGGTAACGGTAATACAAGAGGACACGAAGACAAATTTGATCCATTCTCTCGATCAAAAACGCGCTGGACGCCCGAAACATTTTTCATCGCCTGCCACCCACAACAGTCGACGGACGCAAAACGTTTCAACGCCATAATCGCTTACGTAATAACCGCGAACCCGGCGATTTCGTTGCGTCGAGAAGAGCTCGAAAAAAGGTATTGCGAACGCGTTTCGCAATGAAATCCACCGCCTTCGCACGCTTGCTTTCCTTATCAAGACCCGGGATCGAAAATCTGTAGCAATTTCGGAGTCTTCTCCCGCCGTTCCAACAGAAGAATCTTTTCTGTGACTCAAATATATATGGTAAATATAATTCGAATAGTTAACGATTTGAGTACCGTACAAAACAATTTTATTCGATAACTATTTAATATATTCGAGAATTTTGAATGGCGAGTATCTGGATAAATTCTACCCTTTGTTTATGCAAGTATAAAGAACAAATTTGATAGGGGAAAAGGAAATTATTTGGTTATATCGAGCAAACACTATAGAATCGATTTAAAAGATTTATGAAGAAAAGATGGAATGGTAATGCAAAAATCATTGTAAAAAAAAATAATTACTTTACAAAACTATTGCTCCAAAATTGCAATTATATTTCTCGAATATACAAAAATAATACTTACGACGTATAATGAAATATAAGTCGAAATTAAAGGAATGGACATTATGCGTATTCTAAATTATAAACTAATATTCTTCTAAATTGTAACACACTCTTCTAAATTATAAGGATAAGACACGGTGTCCATTTTTTATCTCGAAGATTTATGAATAGCCTGAGGCTCAGGATGATCATAGAGTCATCCATAATGTAAATCACACGTATATATGTCGCATTCGTGTTACATATAAAGAATCGTAAATAAGGAGTTGAATTAGTTCTACAATTTACACTTGTTAGTATGATCGAATAATATAGTACATTCCCCTACCAAGTTCTCTAAGCTTATCATACTTTCCTAAACGTTGACATAGTGTGATGTGGCCTATAAATCAAGTTATTTAAATTCACCGTCCTGTTTCAAATTTTTTAAAATCACTAATTTAATTCAAATACTTGAATATTCAAATAATAACACACAGATTCTCGAATATTAACACTTCGACTGCCGCGTGATCCATACATAGGTAACAAGACTTTTCACTTTGGAACTAAAACAATTAATTCTAAAATCTGAAATGTTAAAGAAAATAAATTTGAACAGAATTATAATTACTAAGACAAATTCAATTTACGTAGTTTGCAATTGTCCAAAATCAAAATTTCTCGGAAAAAAAATATGACATTTTTGGTCTTGCAGTCAACGTGTTAATGATATTCGATCAAAACTGTTCGAAACCGCAAACGGTCGACGTGGTATCGCCAAAAAAATTCATATCATTAAATGCTGTAATATTAAATTATTCTAATAGTCCCAGCCGTGCTCGAGACACGCAGGAATGCGAGTCTCATTTGGCCGATTAAACGCGGCGTCAAAGTCGTTCGTCGGTCCAACTGCCTGCAATCGGTTTTCCAGATTCTCGAGAAACCGGGGCAGTCTGGTGGGGAATATTTAGGGGATATAAGGTGCTGTAACAAGACAAGGCGGCCGTATATACAGGAGTCGAATAGATAGTGAAAGTCCCCCAGAGCTAACAGGAGCGTAGAGGACAAGAGGGGGGTAGGAACGGGGGACCCCAGTAAGGTATATGAGGGCCTCAGTTCGAGCAACCGCTGGTACTCTAGCCTCGCTGCCTACTTACATTCACACACACTAACACAACCACCACCTGGAACACAATGCACACCGTCGCGACGGTACGTATTCAGTGCGCCATCATCGTCATCGTTCTCATTCTCGATCCTAAAATTTTCATCGACTTCGATAAATCTTAAATCATCCTTCTGCCGCGATCGCGTTAAATCGCCAGCGCCGTCGTCGTCGATCATCGACGGATTCGATCGTACACGGTTTGGAAAACGTGGTCTCGCGTGTGATGTGATCGTTTCTGGTCGTGACGGGACTGTTGTGCTTGTGATTTGTGCATTTTGGTACTATCGCGATTGGATCTCGTAACGCAGCGGCTCTCGACACGGCCGCCGCGGGTTATCACGAGAGTAATTTCGGCGATTCCGTTCTGGAAGTTACGGGTTAAACGTGTTACCCTGACCGACGCGATTGCGGTCTCGACGCGACGCGGAGAAATCCTGCACGCGACCCCGTGTATCGAGTTCCTCGCGGTTTCCACAAAGATCGTTATCTGCCCGTGAAAACGCCGTAAACGAATTACGATTACGGTTGTGCAACTATTGGTCGCGTGCTCGAAGGCCTGGTTACTTAACCCGGCGATCGTCGTGCCTTTCCAACGCCGCCCCGAAAACGATGAAAGTCGCTCGACGCGCGCGTTACGACTCGTTTTCCACCGCCGTCTGCTCGCTCGAAGAAACGAAATTATATAATCAGTTACGACAAACAGGAACACATATTCGAGAATTATGTCGGTCAGCGTGCGTGGCGATAGAAACCGTTTCTCGCTGGTGGCCACTCGGCCGGAACTAAGCCCGATCGAACCGGTATAACTCGTCCGGTCTTTGACCACGTGTAATCTACGCAGGCGGATTCAGACGGACACGTATGTCAACGCGCGAACGAGCAGCTTGTAAGGAGAAAGAAAGATCGGACTAAGTAGAACGTGGACGTTGCAGAGAAATTTTTGCTTGTAAGGAACGTCCTGGACAAACTATATTGATAGAGTATTGGAAAATATTATGCATTTTTATTTTATTCGACAATTATTTAATTTATATTCAAGGAATGAAAATTACCCTGAAAGTAATGCATGAAATATTTGCATCGAAAGTAATGGAGGTTGAAGGAAATGTAGAAGACAAGGTCCGAGCGAAACCTTCACCATATTACAAATGGCGCGGGTCGATCTCTTATAAATGCCCGATTGGTTGCAGTGGCGCCACCTACGAATGAAATTTTTATTCAAACCCTTTCTTTCGAGGTGTTTAATTAACTACTGTTACTATTCATTTATAAACGATAAACCCCCTTTAATACAAAAAGAAGTAATATGTATAAATAAAAATTATACAAGAAAAAATATTATCGCTTATAAAATTTAGTAAAATAATTAATTGTGTATGTATTTCATCTACAATTTTGAGAATACTTTTCATGAATATTAGCCAATAAAAAAATACGCGAGTAACGTCCTTTAATGCTCCGTGTGTTCTAAATTCCAACAGAAAATGGGAGTCTGTTAGTTGCAGATTTAACGAAGGCTGACTAAATTGTCTAGCCTGATACTGGCTGTTTCTTCTAGAACTGATCTTTCTCCTTATAATACTCGTTCGCGTGACATATCCCCGTGGCGTCGAGACTTTTACCGCGTACTGCGAGTCACGATCAAGAATCCGGTATCCTTCGAGTGCGGTTATCTGCCTCGACGCGATGTAATAAAGTCACGTCTGGCGGTTAAGGCTCTGGTAACGCGGAGGGTCATGCATCACTGCTCTCGGACCTTTCTGCGAGCAATTACGTTTTATGAAGTCTGAGATTAACACTTTACACGACGCTGACCGCACGACGATTAACCGTCTAACGTTTTTAGCGGCGGTCTGCGTGCCGCGAACGGCCATAAATCACGAGATCCAAGCATCGTACAAAGAATTTTGATAAAACTTTCAGCTACAGCGTTGCGCAACCGACGAAAGAATTACTAGTTATAGGCCAATAAGAAATTAACTTAACTTAGGTCGTATGGTTATTATTATAAATTTGTTTTTGTTCTAAGTAAACTCGAAATACTTCTGGATCGTTAGAGGTTAAAGACTGATATAAATTTGTTTCCTGTTGATACGACGTATTCAAATTATTCCTCGATTATTAATAATATATTACTTTGACAAGATTCTTTGAAGCGCGAATTTAATTGTACATCGCGACTTTTCCGCGAAAAGTCATCTACTTTCCTAAGAAAGAAACTACGGAAGTGGAAGGAACCCTACTATTTGCGACCGGCCAGCTTTACGAGCAAACGGTTCAAAATTATTCAGCAGAAACGATCGGAAACGACGACGCTGGCAATTTTCGTCTCAGCGATCGACACTTTGGAACATATTCAAACGTTTCAACCCATTCTCTATTACAGCTCGATTAGAAAACTATCCATCAACCATGTTTCCTACTGATTAATGTCAAATATTCTTAATAATTCTTCGCACATAGTATATCCCTGGTCTATTCTTCGTATAATTAACACTGCACTTTCCTCTGCTGCAGGTATTATTAGTGGTAGCCGCCATACTCGCAGTATCGGCGCAGCAATACCAGCAACCAGGTGGCAACTACGTCGACGAGTACTCGGGATACGAGTCTCCTAGACCAGCTCACCCGACGCCCCGAAGTTACGCGTCGGATTCGGCATCATCGCGGCAATCGGCCGCCCCCACGACCCCTAAACCGACCCCGGTGGCCATTCTGAAGCAGATAAACCGTCACAACGAGGACGGTTCGTACACGTACGGCTTCGAGGGCGCGGACGGCTCGTTCAAAATCGAGACGAAACTGCCCACGGGCGACGTGAAGGGTAAATACGGATTCGTGGACGACACTGGCAAGGTCCGCGTGGTGGAGTACGGAGCGAACCAGTACGGTTTCCAGCCGGCTGGAGAGGGTATCACGGTAGCACCACCGACGCTAGAAGACGAGACTACCAGCAAGGAAGCTCTGGAAGCTCTGAACTACCAGGACGCCTACCAACAACAGGTAGCCAGGCCAGCTCCGCAAAGAGTCGCCCCTGTTGCTCGCCCACCACCTCTTCAGCAGGTTCAGTACGATCAGCCAGCCTACCAACAGCCCCAATCCCACACCCAGGCTGTCTACGCTCCGCAATCGGCGCCCAGACAACAACAGGCTTTGTCCAAGCCTCCCATTTTCACGCCCGCTGGCCCCCAACCCGGTTTCCCCAGACAGAGTCCGATCCTTCAGAGCGACGACCCGTCGCCCCCTTCCCAGCTGTACAATCAGGGCCCGGCCCAGTTCGGTCCAGCGCCCGTCCAGGAACATCGTTCCCAGCCCCAGCCCCGCAGCCAGAGCGGAGGCATCCTCGATCAGCTGGCTAGAGACTATGCTCTGCCCCAGGGCGTCGCACCGCCGTTACACGACATCAGCTTCGGCTATTACTAAGTCTTCTAGTCCCTCCCGTGTCCGCCAGGGTGGCCGAAATGTTCGTTTTGGTATTTTCGTATTGTCTGAAGACGCGATGCATCGACGGCGTACAGCTTCGTCGCGATCGCGGTGCGGCCCATCGTTCGCGATGGACGGCGCCGTGATCCGCGCGACGCGCCGTCGATTATTACCGAGAGAAAATGTCAAGGACCGTGCACGCGAAGAGAAATTGGACGGGCTGTTACGAGACACGCCGACGGTCAGCGTATATTTATAAATATTGTTTCTTGTTCCTTCGATCGACGGTCCCTGATCTTTGTTTCGGTAATTCGAGCGAGTCACTGTCATGTTTGCCTACCGAGTCGTGCTTTTGCTACTTCCGATGAGAGCACGAGTGTATTCTTGCCATTGGAACCAAATGTTAAGGGAATATTTGACAAAAGGTTGCTCTGATCATTAACACTCGCGAAGTGGAAATGCGCAGAACGGTCGAATGATTCGGTACTATTAGTGATAGAAAGGCTTGGAATTTTTACGAAATTTCAGACGTACTTCTCACGTTAGATTTGTTTAGTTTGCAAAGAGATATTCGATAAAATTATTTTTTCTATAACAAGTTTTCGCATTTACGCTCCGCCGCTGTGAAAAATACACGTTGTGTAAAAATCGTTTGTACCGTGGCGAGGAAGGTTTGTAAAAATATTGTAAATAAAATTCCACGATCCACGGTAGGCGTCCGTGCTGGTTTTAATCCTAGGTAACGCAGTTTGCACGCTTAGTTGCAAAGACACCGTTACGATATCATTTCAAGGAGAACCTCGTTTTGTCAAGCTGCGTCTTCGAGTTCATGTCTCGCGGGACTGCATAATAAATTCAGCACGCTTACTATTGTAATTAGATTATTGTAAGGTAATTAGATTGGAATAAACTAAGGCCAACACAACACACATTCACTGTAATCGTAACGTCGACGTGTCTGTATCTAACGAGAATTAAAAGTATTTTCATCCCGGATTCTCATTACTGCCCTTCAGACCGCGGGTAACTGTTTCTTATTAGTTTTGTTAATAAAAGTGAAATAAACGTTAATAAATATCCCCGTCAGAGGTGAAATTGGAGCAGCTTCTGCGACTTTCTAAGAGTGCCTGTTTTTCAACTGGTTCGGCTTACGTAATACCACTCGACGAACGACCTTTCGAATTATTCCTTCTATGATAAAAATAGCAGAAGGTAACGAACAGGATTTAATTGTATCTAGCTGTTCCGGAACCGTGTCCGTTGGAATTTTAGTTACGAAATTTCAACGCCGACCTTCGCGGTTCTGCAACGGAAAGGGTACTTTGACTGACGCAAATATTACAATGGTGCCGTGTGATTACGATAGATTTAAAGATTAGAAATGACCCAGCGAGCCCACTTCTACAATTACTATTACATTTTTTTTTAATAACAGTATATATTTGCTACAAAATTGCTGAGTATCACAGATTTCTTAAGATTGCAAACTGTTTAACTATGCATCATATTAGAACGTCCTGTAGGTCCTTTAATCTTGTCACTTATTGTTGAGATACACTATTTGAAATTGCTATTTTAGGTTTACAAGATCGTGGTAAGTAGATTTATGAGCTCTTGTCAAGACTTTCGCGTGAATTTTGCTTCTACTTATATAAACTCTGTAAGATAGAACCATTCAAATAATTACTTTCTACGGCGAACTAATTTCCTAACAAGTTCGAGATAATATATTCTACATATACGCCTTAGTCCCACTTCTATGGAGTCCTAATAAGTTGTTTATTAAATTAAAGTTGTTTTTTACCGATTATATTCTTATAGAATAAAAAATGCACCCTTTAACTATTAAATATTTGTATGTTTCACATTATAATTTGAACTAATTTTTTAGGAGATTCGTAGACATGAAAAATTGACACGACTTAAACTGACAACTTCTTGAGATATATTATAAATAGGTTCAAATAAACTTTCAATTACGATAAAGTTTTTTTCATAAATGCAATTTATATTCTGTATTCACCCTGCAAGGGCTGCAACCAGAGTTGCATGCGTGCAAAGAGAGTTTCCCACTAGCGCGGCTCGTGTGTAGAGTTGGAATCGAACGCTTCGCAAGTAAGATCAACACAAAGTTTTTGATCGTTCATAGTAATTTACAACATACTTGAATCTGGACAAACCAGGTTTAAATCCTCTGTAAGTACTTGTAGTAATCAAACCTGTATTTCGAAATGCAATCGAACTCTAATCGTGTACTATTAACCATTTATGAATAACTTTGTGGAAATATCGCGTTCTTTCGTATCGTGGTATTTGCATAAAGCAACGAATATTTAGTTACATAATTTCCAGCAATTAAAGACTTTCACGACAAGAAATATGCAGAATCACGTAGCTTGAATTCTCTGATTAAACAAACTGTGTTTCTTTTACGTGCAGATATTTCATTTAAATTTTGAAATAGAATCAAGTATTCTAGGTATTTCACAAATACAATTAAATGTCGATTATACGAATTTATAGTAGAATACATGTTAACACAAGTGAATACAAGTTAGTAACAATTCGTATTCTGTGGTCACCAAATATCGAAATTCTCCTGTACTTTGTATTCAATCATGCTGTCAAGTATTACATAGTCCTGTTACCTGAATTTTGAAGCATCGTCGAATACTAGATACACTTTTTTATATTCGACATCTTATTAGTAAAGAACACTTGTATTCAGTTTCATTGGAGAATAAGAAATACAGCATTGTTTAGGTTATAAAATTTCCAACCACTCTTCACGTGACGAACAAGCTTAAAACCGACGCGAAATTCCATTTTATCTGTTAGATCTTTGCCCCCGAAATTCGTACTGTTCTCACGCGCGTTCTTTTGTTGCAACTTAACAATCTTTTGTGATACAACAATATTTCCTTTCATGTCGTCACAGAGACTATTCTCTGGACACCGTAATTAAGGTACCCTTCATCCAACGAATTAATGCTCTATTCAGAGGATCCCCAAGATTAATGTCACGCTATTGTGTTTTCACAGAATATGAATATTCATGTTTGTTTTATTCAGCATGATAGTAAGGTGTGTCTAACATGTTACGTATTGTCTGTTGAAATTATGAACATTATTTCAAATTACAACAAGCAAATCTACTAATTTATATGCGATGATTGTAACGTAGTAACTTGTATAGTTCAGTAGATAACTGTTAATTATTACTGTTTTGTTTCATAATAAAATCACTGTTAATATTCCTTTAACAAATTGTATAAATATTATATACTAATAGACATTTCTTCGTAAATATTACTAGTAGATTAGGCTGGGTGAGATTAGTCAAACAGTTTAGAAACGCCCTGTACAGAGAAAGTGTAAGAACACTGTCGCGTGAGTTTTGTCACGTATCCTCTATGTTCTTGACAAGTTGCGTATTCAGGACTATGTTGTCTCAGACAGCGTGTCATAGACCTAGAAGCAAGTCATGTACTAAATATACCCATTGTCTTTAGTTTTCTTTCATTAATTCACCTCGATGTTACGCACCATTCGGATCTGTGATGCAAACCCATTTCGTTTTAGAAATTAAGGAGCAAGATTTTAATCAAGCAATTTTTTCGCCATCGTTTTCGTACAACGTTGTTTTAAAAATGTTCAATGTCTCTCTGTTTCTTAAAATGACGTCTAAAGCTATAATTTTTGAGTTAGATAAATAGCAATATTAATGATCAACCATCAAATTTCCAAACGTTTCAGTATATAGAGATTTCATCGCACGTCGAGGGTGGCAAGCAGTCTGAGATTAGTATGATGACGGTGTTAAGGATTACTGTAGAAATCACGATAAATTTCTTGGCACCGTACCAAATGATCGCATCATAATGCACCTCTGTTCGAGGTGAGCATTACTCCATGCGCATTGACCTTCTTCGGTGCAACGCAAGGCTGCCGCCATCACGTTCGCTGCGCAGGTGTAACGTTATATGAAGAAGCGCAGCTTGCATAATCGCGTATAATAATATCCAGGCGTGCATGGAGTCAGTGACCTCGAGGCTCTAGAAAGCTGCACTCGTCAAAAGTATTTTGATTTTTCTTCCGCGTTCCGTTCAATTGTAACATTTTTTTTTCCACGTCATCGTGCTGGTAATTTTATGAACGATCAACTACCATCAACGGGTATTTCCGGAAGTTACATGAAGGCGTTGATATTTGCAAATTGTAGCAAAGCATCTAGAATAGAAATTTCAAAAACCTTTACTCCTATTTATTTTACGTATAAAAAACAACAAAATAAAATGACTCTATGTTTTTATTTCTTATTTTGAATATCAACGACGCAATTCCTTTACCAATATTATAATGTGAGAAATAGTTTGGACGATGTTTGTTATCGTCTAAGCGAGTCACGCAAAATGTGTCTACAGATTTCAACATTGCAAGCCATAGTTACAGAACCTGCCTACTTTACTAGAGTTTATCGTCATTGTTGAAATCGTCGATCGATTGATGCAAGTTTTCGTAATCTACTGTCGAGTTCAGTTTGCATAAATTATAGAAAATGTGTTCACGAGCCTCATTTTATAAATTATTTATTTAAAATGGGGTTTGTGGGTTACTTTATCAATTGCTTACTGATTCTTGTTCTAGATACAATCTTCAATGTGAGAAGAGTTTCTCATAAGAATTAGCATTCTCCAATGCAAATGGACATTAATAGATTATGTATTGAGGATTTGACGAGTACGCGTGAAGTTTTCTTAGAAAGGAGATACTTCCTGTTGATAAAGTTAACAACTTCATAAGGTACAAGCAAGGTTTTATCGTTCCTACATTTTCTATCGTTATTCACAGACATCAATAGCATCGTCAGGATTTTTTAGAAGACGCCTGTACGAAGTGCGGCAACGCGATTTCAGATAAGGGAACAAAGACATCTAATGAAATTACAAATCAATCGTTACAGCTGCGAACGCGAAAACAAGCACGCGGAAAGAACTTTCGCCGTCGAAAGTTCCTAAGATGATCAGCTGGGTAACGTAGAAGTGTTTCAAATACTAAATAAACTTCACAAAGGGATACACAAAAATGCCTTAACAAAATCAATGCTTAATATTATTTATCGTTAATTTTTTTATAAAATAATGGACAAATCTAGCGTAGAACTTGTTCGTATAATACTTCGTTTTCGAGAAAATAGACTTGAAAATTCATCGAATACGCGTGCAGTGGAGTACGATCTGGACATCGACGTAAGTAGAAACAGTGAGTAATGGACAGACGCGCCAACCAAATCGTATTCAATCTCACTCGTATCCGATTTATTTTCAAGTTTAATTAATTCGAAAACGAAACATTCTAGGGAAAAATTTAATTCTGTATTTTTTATTTACTTTTTCATTTCTTACTTTAAATATTAACTCAAGATTGTATAAACGTGACTCGATGTGGTCTATAATAAGCATTGGCTACTGAGATACTAAACTAATTTAACGAGACTATATATGCAAAATATTCTTGCATACGTTTTTTAAACATAAATATGCAAAGCTATGCATTATGCAAAAGGTGTAAAATAAAAAATGTATTTTTAGAACACTATAATTACAAAATGTATTTCTATCCAGATCCTATTACTTTACCCGTTTTTTACGAAACCCTAGTTTTGCATAAACATTCGAACGTATTACTACTGTTTTCTTTCCGATTGCTACGGCCAGTGTAAACGAACTTCGCTTCGTTTTTCCATTGGTGGCGCCGAAAGCGAACTCGATCGTCGCCTCCTTCTGACGGCAATGAAAGTAGGTAAGTGCATTTTCTTCAGAGAAACCGGCTGCGAGATCAAGCATAAATCATGACCGATAAAGCAGGTTGTCCGTGTTACTGATTCCATTCCATCTGCCAGTGTTTTATGTCGCGTTAAAATCAGCCACGGATAAAAATTAATGGTCGTTTAATGCAATTCACTTTCTATATCACAGGAAAATTTGCAACGGTTGCGTTGGTTTCTTTTCAGACCTTGGGAAGCTTCGTGTGAATTTTTCCGCCAATTAGTCCGATGAATCTATAGTATCCTGTGCGCGAATTTTCAAGCATTATCTCGCGTAGATGACTTCACTTTTACTCTTACCGTTTACGCTTTTCGGTAATAAGCACTTTTAATTTTAATCAGATTACAGAATTGATTTATAAATATAAAAGAACGGTATTATTAACGACGATCCGATAACTCGAACGTTCTTAATAATAACCCAAAAAAATTGAGCCTATACTAAATTCCAGAATTATTTTTGACTAATTAGTCCGATGAATATGCAGTATCCTGTACGTCTTTTTCGCATGAATTTTAAAGCTTTTACTTTTACTTTTTATATTATTCATTATTTAAAATGTTTACATTTAATTAGACTGTGGAAGTGTTAAGTAGGAAGTTTTATTATTACTGCAGATGGTACGATAACTAAATCATTTTTATTAATGTCGTTGAAGTTCAGTATATTTTGAATACGTATCTTTGAAGGAGAAAGTTTACGTCTTTATATTTTCACTTTGAGACACTAAAAGTATCATATTTCATCACACTTAAATTCAAGAATGCAAATTAAATCTTTGTATATTGTTCCGGTCAATTTAATCTGAAAGAACATTTTAGCTTTCGATATTCTTAACTGCTCGAGTCACATGTCCCGTATGTGTTGATAAAAGTAAAATTAATTTTATAATTTGAAATATAATAACGTCAAATTGACCTCGATAGTATCGAAATTGCCTAGTTTCAATTTTTTCTCACTGTCAAAGAATCAGAAATAAAAATTGCATTTCGAACAAACCATCGTTAAATAATTATGTTTTATATATTTAATGCGTTACTAGAAGTTAGTGAAACTGGCCTTCTAGCGGTTCAAAGGCCACGAATGTTCCATACACGGCGTGTGAAGTAGGAGGATCAGTTACAACGACTCTCCCAAATTAAAATGCAACATTTTCAAGGCGTTACAGATATCATCGACGATCGCGCCACGCGATATCAACGCTACTTTCTTCCAACAGATGCACCGTGGGGATTCGCGTCGAGACCATTCATCGCATTTAACACGTAATTAAATCATACTTCCAGAATGTCAAACTGCGGTGTTAAACTTCCTCCTTCTAAGAAATTAATTCAGCTATCATAATAACTTGAACGCTTCCCAACAGTAATTATTGTATTATCAAGTTAAGTATTCATACTTGACATTAAAAGCAAACGTGGCACAATTACTTTCTTTTATTATCGTCTATCTTACTAAAATGATAAATACACGCGATAATATCGGTTCTAAGTATGTAATAAATTATACATTCGCGAGGTTCTCTAATCATTCATATAATTACATTGTAAGTAGTAAAATTGCACGCTATTAATCAATGGGGTTGTAAAAATTTATACTTTGACAGAATTTACTGTCACATTCTCCAAAATTTAGAATTCAATTGTTTGATTATCCCGAACATTGGATCTTCAAAAAAATATTCTCCAAATTAAAAATTAAAATGTTTGATTATTCCAAACATTGGGTCTTCAAAAAAGTCTGACGATACTTTGATTTATAAGCATTTAACTATCCTCTAAAATTCAAAATTCAATTGTTTGATCATTCCGAACATTCGTCTCTGAGACAGTGCAGATAATCGAAGTTCCACGGCAAAAGTTACAATAAATTCTACGTCTTGGGGAAAAATGGGACACTCCCGAATCACGTTCGCGAAATCGTGGCTGGGTTTGCACTATTCTGTCAGTCAAGATCACCAGATGATTATCGGATCGCGATTGTAAATCTGTCGATCTCCGTGCGAGGTCGACCTATATCCAGCCGGCCGGACGTGTTTCACGCCTGTAGGCGCGCGTTCGCATAATACAGGTTACGTTCACGCACTCCGATACAATTTGGCAATGTCAGGCCCGCGACGTTCTGGTTTGGCAATGGCCATGTCGACGCACGACCTCCGGGAGTCTAATTTGCGGGTGTTACACGCCGTCGAAGAGGACGGAGTTACTATCCGCGTGGGCCCCCACTATAAGTAAAACCGTTCGTATAGGTTATAAAGGACCGAGCTCCGTACTATACGACTGCACTCTCTCAGTGAAACTCACGGAGGATCGATCCCCGGCTACTTGTAATCTCCTCGCCCGCAACGTGTGCACCATGAGGATTATATCTTTGGTACGTACGCAGACTTTTCTAATTTTCCTCTACGTATCTCTTTTCACGCGGACTTTCGCGCGGGTGGGTCCAACCATCGTGCATTGTTTCGACGAATAACTGCCCCCCCCCCTTCCCCTGGTGTTCCCATTGACAGGATCCTTAACGCCGTGAACATCCGGTCGTCTACTCTTTAGACACTTTGTACTCGAGACAATCGGGGTGTCGAGTTTCCGTACGCGTTTCGAGAACGATTGAAACGCGCGTGAAAGACGTACTGTGAAGTTGATACAGTATTATTGTTGTCGAGTGCTTAATTTGTATAATAGGTGGGACCAAGTATTCGGCGTAATATGTCTGATAGGTGAAAATTACGTTGAGGTGTATTCGACGCAGCCCCTGACAGTGATTTTAGGTTGCTTTTTGTACGAATATTTTTGTGCAAAATTTAAAATTGTAACATTTGACACCTAATAGAGAATATAGTTATAATTTTCTTCGCTAACTTGAGATACTAACCGGGATAGGATTTTTGCTAAAATTTATTATTGAATTAGAACTTCGTGCTGGAAGTCAATGAAAGCACAGACTTTGTTCACTTATAGTCAACTAAAAGGACACGATAGGGCGCGAAATATTTGTCTGTCATTTTTTGTTTAATAAAATTAAATAGAAATAGTTCAAATGCAATGAATACGGCATTAGTAACGTTTATATTGACTATAAAAAAGTATTCAACTCAATATAACGAACACTAAGTTTGCAGCAAATATTTTACTCCAATTTGTTATGTAACTCGTTCGAATTTAGGAAACTTTGTACGAATCGACTATTCGACTAAATTAATAAACTAAATAGAATTGTAAGAAGTTATCATAAAAAAATTTGGAACAGGAATTACAGTTTTATAGACAATGGCGGAGAAAAAAGGGTTCCGTTTTGTATTCAATTTTGAAATATCACGTTCGAGGTGTTGACACGTCCGGAGACTTCAATGCCGGGTCAGTGATAGCGCGCTGGTTTCGTAGCGTCAACTTCTGTCGAAAATTATGCAATGGAGTGTGATCGGAATACATTCGATAGACTTTCGTGAGTGTGTTTACAAATAACGTTACGTGACGTTTACAGATTATAGTTAAATTCCTCGTTGCTCGTATTAAACACGATGTCTGCTAATAGGAAAAAGATTAATTACCACCGATACGAAACTTTCATTTCGCGATACGTATCTTATGGTATTTGTAGCTGGTTCAGTATTTAAAAATCTGTATTCAACTATCAACCATACTAATACGGGAAGAATTAACCATTCATTTTATAATTCCCTTTATTCTGAATACCGCTAATTATATAAATAATATATTTTTAAATATTTCAATAATTGTGAATTATAAATTCGCTTCACGCATAACTGCTATACACTTTCTGAATTCCCACAATAAATCAGTTGTGCAGAACTTTTATTGAATGGAAAAATCTATGCTTCCCACAGTCGCGGCAGACACCCATGTAGCAGTGAATAATTTCTGTTACCACGTATATTCTTGAAACAATAATCCATTATAACCCCCATGTACACGCGACTCTGAAACCACTCGTAAAACAGAAAACTATTTTCCTCGGTCGGAGACTTACATTATACACCCACTTCGATTTAACATACCTGAAGAAAAAGTGAAACGTAAGATGAATTACACAATCGTCTAACTGTATCTATCTGCACAATTATTTTGTAAATCATAAAACGAATTCATTAAATTTTGGAAATTAGAAAGCGATGTTTCTTGTAATAAAATATACTATGTATCAAAAGCGCCCGAACGTGATATTTATTATAATATCATAAGTTCCCGTTAATTTCTATTCGTGCAGAAACGGTGATTCACGAACGACTTCAATTATTTATTAGCGAAAAGATAGAGATTGGTCAATTTCCGTTCTATTTATGTATTCTCTGATGCGACTGCGGTTCGTTATGGATTAACAAGTATGTATATGGAGCAACGAAAGTGATGCAATTTTGTGTCGCCTTCGGTGCCGACGCGTCGCCATTCATAGAAAATTAATCATAATTAACGAAAGCATTTTCTTTACACGTTCAAAGAAGCATTCTCTCCTCCTTAATTCCTGTGGGAACTTTCATCCGCTCTGGGTTTCACTTATGAACTTCTCGCGTGAGATCGAAAAATTAATTGTGCGAAAACGCGTATAGAAACCGCAAGTAAAACTTTAATTTCACCGTTTTTCCTGTGCGACGATTGTTCGTTCGAGATGGAATAGTAACCACTCAAGTTCAATTCTTCTGTTTTTGTCTCTTTTTCTGGATTTTTTCTCTAGTTGTTTGAACAACAGTTATAAACCAGTTTAACGATTCTTCATTGCGTAAAACGGTTGTAGCATAACCGTAAAAGTTTCTCTATTTTGTTCTGAATATTTGACAAACGATGATTCCTGTCCATATCTAACTACTGCATTGCAAATATTTTAATATCCTAGTAATCTACCACTGACGGTATTGTAATTTTTTCTGCGACTCGATCTTTATTGTACATTTCAAATTTATTCAAAGTTGTTAGAAACGTCGTCGAAGAAAATACGGGACCAAGTGATGAAAGATCTGCAATCTGGTAGACTAGCATGTTTTATTATAGCTTTCACCAATTTAGTCCGAGACCTGTTACTTTATATATTCATTTTACTGCGATAAACTAGTGTTTAATTTCAGTGTCGTGAACTTCGTCAGTTTCGTCAAACGTTACCTAGTCATGAAACATATAAATCAATGTTCGAGTAAAATAGACTCAAAAAATTACAATTAATGGCAGCAGTTCTTTTGATTTATGCCAACTATAATTAGATTATTGAAACGTACAATTTTATTCGCATCAAAATTTTTGTCCTGCAATATTATTTATAAGATGCTGGCTTAACTTCTTCAAACGTAACCTGTTTGTGCATAAGCTTTTTATACTTTCTATCTATTTTGTCAAAATGCATTGCATCATTAGGTTTATGGATCGATTTCTATAGCGAGTATCGATCGATACGCTTTTCACTTTCATTTTTCTCTGACTGGTCAATCATAAATAATAGTGGATGTACGCAATCGAAACAGGCACGCCGCGGCAATTCGATATGAATATTTCATACATTCTTTCGGTCTGCTTCTATTAAATTATAGTTTCATACCTGGCTAGATTGGTAATAATGATATTAACTCCATTGGATGGTTCTTTTGTCTAAAATTGAAAATACTTTGTCCCATTCACTAGATTGTTTTTGTAGTTCTATTGTATATTAAATAATTTCTGATTCTTCCTAGAGGAAATGATTAAAAAATTCCAGACATCGAGTTTCTAGCGAAATGGACAGTATTATTAAATAAATATAACTGGGATACGTGTTATACAATGTACAGCTAAAATGATTTATTAGTATTCATAATACTAAATAATGTGAACCTATAACTCTTCAGAGTTTCCAATCATTCGTTTAATGTGAAATCTCTCTATTTCATTTCACGGTTATGAAATACTGCCAATAATTTTCCATAACACAGCATAACAAAACTTCTATACAATTGCCATGCACTTTTAACGACACGCTTCTAATGAACTGTCTGGAAGATAAAACGTAGCCTTAGACTAAAGTAAACGTTGTAAATTTTAATATTATTACTAGAACTACCATTTTTAGTACCGCGGTAGTCACTAATTGTTTGAACTCGTAATACATAAAAGTTTCACAAGCAGGACTGCAGAGTTTTTATGGATGGAAAAAACGCTTCCTGCTTTTGAAACACTTACACTTACGTTACTGTATACTTTTAACGATGGTTTTGTACGTGCATAGATACGCGTTTTAAAACATTTTTGTGGAAAACTGGCATTCTATTCCTTTCGTGGCAAAATAATGAAAAATTGTGAAAACGAGCTTGTTCCATTAACGTTAACAATTGTGTACTAATTACTCTGAAATTTTTGAAACCTACGCTGCATTCTTAAAAACATTTCTAAGAATCTGATTCTTTTAAAATTATCATCGACAACATATTAAAAACGTATAATTAAATTTTGTGGAAATGTGAACGTTCCTAACGATGCATAGAAGGTATGTTAAAATATTTGTCTAGCCTCTAACAACCCCAGCTGCTGGCACGTCACATCACGATAAACGTTTTTAACGAAGAATCATTACCGTGAACCAAGCTATTAATTAACCTAAATTGCATTGTTCTCAAGCACCATGACTACAACGATCTTTTCCATCGACGAGTTTCATAAGTACCTATATTTGTACTCTTGGCACACTGTAGATGATTATATATGACACGTCAGAAAAATACTGGTTTCAAAATTATTACGTATAGTCAGGTCTAAAATATTTGACTTTCTTGAAATTATCATTAACAAAATATCAAGATTCTCAAGGTTCTATAGAGCAAATTAAAAAATTAAAAAAAAAAAAAATGATTTACAACTAATACGAGACATCGACGCGAACCTACCTCACCTATCGATAAAAATCGACACATTTGATCGCACGTACGACAGAAACGTGCGGCTCATAACAACGATGCATCGATTTTGATCGCGTCGTCGCCGAGACCTAGATTTGGCTCATAGAAACCAATGACGGAGAAACTATCCCGCAATAAATTGCGAAAGCGAGGCTAATACGACTCGGGGGTAAATCACAGTTGCTTTCTTCGGTTATAGACAGTCATCAAGCATCGGCACTTACTCTCTACCGAGCCACGGATACTTATAGCAATTCAAAAAATGATACCTGCTTGCCACGAATGGTCGTCAACCTTTTCGATTATAACTTTCCATTGTTCGAGACAAACAATTCGATTTTTGGTACTCTGGCGCACTGAATCATTCCAAACTCTTTAACGTTAGAATTATTATAGTAAACCTTTTTGACAGCTATGAGTTGTACTTTAAAAATTACGAGTAAAGAAACGAAATTAATTTTTTCAATGAAATCTTGTCAATTTTATACCAAACAATTGTACA